GGTGGCCGAGGATGGTCTGCTGCACCAGCCGCGCGTAGCCGTCCAGGCGCACGCCGGAGTTGCTCCTGCTCCGCATGGCTGCTCGGGGGCCGCGGCGGCGGCGACTGCACTGCCGAGCGGGCGGGCGGGCCGGCCGGCCTTCCTCCCTCCCGACGTGGGCGTCGCTCTCGCCGCGGCAGCAGAGGCCGCCCCAAGGCGGGGGGGGGGGGGGGGGGGACCCGCGGGGCAGGCCCGGCAGGCGGACGCCCCCCGCGCGGGCGCTTGCCGGGGACAGGCGGGGACAGGCGGCCCGCTGGGAGCGCGCGCCCTGAACGCCTCGGCTGCCTCCCCGCTCGCGGCGACCGGGCGGGACCGGCGAGAGAGCGCCGTCGCCGGAGGAAAAGGAGTTAATCCGTGCGCCTGGGCGATCCTAGCAGTGCCATAGCAAAAGATTTTTGTTTCTTATTTCTGTACTTTGCCGGGAGCGGAAGAAATTCTTCCCCCGATGCCATAAGAGCGAAGAGGCTCTTCGGCCTTCAACGAGGATGGCACTTCTTGCTCACGTCCCGCACAAGCCGCGGCAGAACCGAGAGGACTAGCTCCCTGCCAGGACCCGCGGAAGGCAACTTCTGCTCTCCTTCGGAAGTTTCTTCTTGGGATGTTAGTTTCAGCCGCCGGGAGAAAAACGGGTAAGCGCGCCCCCTGCCCGCAAGAGGGGGATCCGCACCCTCTGGCGAGGGAGCGGGGCTGGTCGGGGCTGGACGCAGACCGCGGGGCTGGCGCTGCAAGTCCCGCGCCTGGCGGTGCCCCCTTTCCCCGCGGACGCCTCGGGAGGGGCCCTCTCGCAGCGCGGCGGCGCAGTCGGCTGCCTGCTCCCCCGGGGCTCCCGGAGGGGCGGTCCACCCGCGTGTGCGCCCCGGCAGCCGCGCCGCGCCAGTCGTTCAGGGCCGGGGAGCAGCGGGGCAGGGACCCTGTGCGCGTCCGCGCGCGCCGCGGCAGGCGGGGTCCACGCTGGCGTCTCTGGAGCCGAAGGGGGAGTTTTTCTCCGAGCCGGAGAGAGCGCGGAGTGGGACGGGACGGGACGGGACGGGACGGGACGGGACGGCTGCCGCCGCGAAGAGCCGCGGGAGCCAGCCCGCTCGGGCGCTTCGCGGTGGCTGTCCGGGCGGGGAAGCTTCCAGCGGGATCCGACCGGTCCACGCGGAGCCCCTGCTTCAGGCCTCTGTGCCCATGTGCCACCTCCCCATGAGAGGTGGTGTGCTGGAGCCCTTGTCAGGAGGGAGCGCGGGGAAGCTTCTTGCGCATGTCTGCCCGAGGGGTCCCAAGGGAGTCCCCGATCCGAGAGGGTCCTGCATGCACCCTTCAGGAGCGAGTGTGCGGCCGCGCCAGGGAGCGGGTCTGTTCCCCCAGCCCAGCTTTGCAGGCTCCAGCCGGCGGCGGCAGCTCTCCAGGGCTTCTAGCCCTGCCAAGAGATGCCAGGAAGCAAACCAGGAAGCGTTGGCCCTGAAGCAGGGCTCTGCCACCAGCAGCGGCTCCTGGGCACTGGTTCTCCCCTGCTCTGAACTGCTCCCGGGGAGTCCCCTCTCCGGGCGCTGGCGTTGGTGGGGCTGCGCCAGCTGCACCTGGGGACTGGCCCGCTTTGCTTTCTGGGGACGGGTGTGGGACTTCGACTGGCCACAGAGCAGATCCCGCTTGTGTAAAAAAGAACTCCGGGCCACCAGGAGCCTTTACCTTTGGGCTCAAATCACCCCTCGCAAGCACTCCTGTCCTTGACCTTCTCTCCGCTGGCAGCCCAAGGCACAACTGAAGGGTGACTCTAGCACCCTCCTGGGAGTGGTGATAGGTGACTAAGAATCTGGGGCACAGGCCCAGAGGACAGGAAACCTGCATGATTTGTAAGTGTTAATTTACATGTGCAAAAATGTAAGTGATTAGCGATAATTGTAGTTCGCATTTTATAGGATACAAGTTACGGTATTTTTCGCTCTATGAGATGCACTTTTCCCCCCCTCAAAAGTAAGGGGAAAAGTCTATGCGTCTTATAGAGCGAATGTGTGTGTGCCCGACACCCGGGACGCTGCCGGCCCGGCTGCACCACGTGGCACCACCTGGCCGGCCCGCGCTCAGTGCACCCTGCTCCGCCCCCTCCCCTCCGGCGCAGGTGAGAGCTGTGCCGCTCAGGGGGAGGCATGTGGAGGAGGAGGAGCCACAGGCTTTAACCCACCGGCCGCACGGAGAGACGGACTGCTCACCCCCACTGCCCGGGAAGACCTGCCGCCGCACCGCCCGGAAGACCACCGCCAGCACGCTGCCGGCCCGGCTGCACCACTCCTGGCCGGCACATGCTCGGCGCGCCCTGCTCTGCCCCCCAACAGGTGAGAGCTGTTAATCACAGGTCGGTGTGTGTTTTCAAATGGCAACCCGTCTTTTAATGAAGCCCATGGGGACGTGATGGGGAATGTGCCTGTGATTATCAGGAAGCTTTCCATGGATCCCTCCTCTAAAAACTAGGTGCGTCTTATGGTCAGGTGCGTCTTATAGAGCGAAAAATATGGTACTTCTCTTTTGCCTTCAGGACAGAACTGTGCAATATCCCAGCTGTTCTTGCTTAAAACTTACCCTCCCTCACCCACACGTCCTGCTGTTTGGGCCCAAGGCCAGGGAGGGGGGGGGCCCGCTGGGACCAGCGAAGGGTACTCTGTGCCTTGCGGAGTGAACGCAGCCTGCTGGCGAGGGGGAGTGCGGCACTGCATCGTGGACTCGGCGCTGCAGAGTTGCGCAGTCGCAAGGGGGCAAACGGGGCCGACTGCTTGGCTGCCCCCGGCTGCTGGGCGTGGCAAGGAGGGCGGGGGGGGGCTCCCCATTTTGTTCCACGTGCTGTTTCTGAAACCTTGGAATACACACGACCACTGCTACAGTTTTTGGGGTCCAAGTGTTACATTCCTAACATCTAAACCAACTATTGCAATACCAAGTTTCTGACAATCCAGTCAACATACTACTTGTAAAGTAATAAAGAAAGTTGGGTACCTTTATTAGAACCAACCAGCATTCCCAGTGAACGTACTGGCCCACTGTGGGCTTTTCTATCCCATGGAGCAGCTTGACTATTTTTGTTTCAGGTTGGGGGGGGGGGCGTTCTTTACATTACTAGATTACCAATTCCAGGGTTCCTTCTGGATTTATGTTTTGGAATATTTTCAGGGTGGATAAGGCAGATTGCAATTCTGAACACATTTACTAAGGAGGACAACTGCATTTGCTTTATCTGAGAGTAAATCCCACTGGATTTTGTGCAATTTACTCCCAAGTAAACATGTTTAAAGATTGCACCGTAAATTTTACATACTCCTGAATATGTTTTCCCATCCACATATTTCTCTTCTCCGTCTTTTTCTCTAGCCCACATAATTTCTGTACCTCCCCCCCCCCCCCCGTGCTGCACAGCCAGGCCCAGGGCTGGCCCCAAGACACTTGGTAGGCTGCAGCAGTATGAGGTGGCTCCCCACTGCGCACGCACGCGAGCGCGCGCGCGCGCACACACACACACACACACAGTGCACAATCGACCGGACACACTCAAGCAGGCCAGCAGACCTCTGGGCCGCTGGGGCATTTTGCAAGGAAACCCCCTTTGTGTTGGCCCAGCAGGAGGGGCTGGGTCAGCAATGAGGGAGGGTGGGCTTGCCTGGGAAGTGACAGGCCCGCCCGCCCGCCCGCCCTCTCCCTGGAGGGGCCTCCTTGTGCCCAGGAGCAGCTGGTGGGCAGCTCTGCGGAGCCGGGCACACGGGGAGCGCCAGGTGGCAGCCGTGCGGGGAGGCAACTTCGGATGCTGGCCTTCATGAAGCTGTAAGCTGCCTGTGGAGGCAAAGCCGTGGTCTCCTCTCGGGTGCAAAGGTGGCGCCTTCCAAGTGCGCGTTTGCTAAGAAGTGGGCCCAGGGACTCCATCACCGCAAGGCCGCTGAGGTTGCAGGGGAGCAGCAGGCTTGCGTTGGGCCCTGCATGGCGATTCCGGAAGGCCGAGCTGCGGGCTCAGTTGCTGCTCTCGGGCCGCCCTGATCACAGAGGAGGGGCCAGGACTAGCAGCGCCCCTCGGTGCCTTGCACGATCCCCGCGGCCGACTCTTCACGCTTTGACCTGGGGGTCTGCGCAGTGCCCATTCCTGGAAGGAGAGAGGCAGGCAGGGGGGCGTGAGGGTAGCCAGCTGGCCAGGCCAGCTTCCCCTCCCTCCCTCCCTCCTAGGAAGGCCTTGAACCCAGGGCCTGGACAGGCTCGGCCCCTCCCAGTGCCACTCGTAGGGGGAGCTGGCCAGCCCGTGCCAGCCTTCTCCGCGTGGCTCCGTGGCAGCAGCCGGCCAGGCTGTCGGGGGGACCAGCCCTGTGCTTGCGGCACCCACCTGCACGCCTGGGTGCTGCACTCCAGCCCCCGCAAGCAGTGGGCCCCCAGGGGTTTGCTGCCCAGCGTCCGCCAGAAAGGAGTGGAGGCGCGCCTCGCCCGGCTCGGGAGCTGCAGCCCCCAGGCAGAGGTCCTCCCAGCAGGCTCAGGCTCAGGCTCAGCCAGGGGTTGAAGCCCCCTCCTGGGCAAGCCGGGGGCCCCCACCGGGTTCGCTGGCACCTGCGCGGAGAGAACAGGACACAGCGCAGGGGCGTTAGTTTCTGGCTGCAGGCCAGCCTTCTTCAGCACTTGAGCCTCCTTGCGGAGGACGATGGGGTTGTAGTCCAGCTCCCCTGCCACCCTTGCCCTTCCCGGGCCTGGGATCTGCCGGCGCCTCCCCTGCCTGTCCCACTTCGCTCTCCTCTCCAGCGTCTTGCCATGCTCTGCGTCTTTCTGCTCCCAGTCCAAGCAGCCCTCCTTTCCAGCACACCCCACAGCCAGTTCTCCTGATGTACTGCATTTTTGCCTTCCTTTTCCTTAACAGAGCGTAAGGCCATGCCTGTGCTCCTTCTATTTTATCCGCATGCCAACCCTGCGAGGTAGGTTCGACTGGGAGAGAATGCCTTGCTCAAGGTTGCCCCAATCCTGGCCCAACAGCACAGGAAAGCAATAGGTGAAAACAGCTAGAAGATGAAGCAGGGATGGGGACCACATGTCCTTCTGAAGGTTCTTCAACCACATTTCCCATCATCCCTGACCACTGCGA